TGGTAATGGAAGTATGGAAGGCAATGGTGGTGGGTATGGATGCGGCAGCGGGGCGGTAGGTGGAAACGGTGAATGCAAGTTCGTTTTTGGGGTAATGGAAGTAGGGAAGGCAATGGTGGTGGGTATGGGTGCGGCAGCGGGACGTTGTGTGGAAACGGTGACTGCAAGTTCGTATTTGTGGCAATGGAAGAATGGAAGGCAATGGTGGTGGGTATGGATACGGCTGCGGGCTTAGAGTGGAGACGGTGAATGCAAGTTTGTATTTGTGGTAATGGATGTTAGAGATTAGTGGTGGGTAGGGACACTGCTGAGGTGCATACAGTGGCTGCAACTGTGGTGATTGTGGAGGTGGAAGCATAGATGTAGGTAGCAGGTGGTATGGATATTGTGCGATGGTTGGATGGTAATGGTGTCATGAAACTGTGTTGTAAAGGAAGCAGAGACGTGTAGTGCGTGACATCTAGTGCGTCATTTTTGAACTAGAGGATTCTTTAATTGTCTACTAGATGGCGTTGACGGTACGTTTCTTACTTTTTTTTAATAGTTTGGGATTCTGCCGGTAAATGCGCTGTCATAGATAATTTGAATCATTGGGAATTTTCAGAGTAGTTTAAATTTTTAAGCGGGGTAGGGTTATTATATCTACTGGCAGTTTATTATAAATATTCGGTGTAATTTTTTTTTTTTTGTTACTATGGCAAATTATTGTTTACTTTGATTAAGTGATGGTATTTTTTAATCATACTCACTTTTAGATTTAGGCTTTTTGTAGCTTTATCTAGTTTTGAATGTACTGTTAATGTTTCTTACCTGCAATATAACTTGATTATGTGATGGGTATGTTCTTGCAAGACAGGATTTTCATGCGTTATGATTTCTCTTGAAATAAATGCTATTTGTTTGTTATTTTCTTAATCTCAACAAGATTATACATAAAACAATAACATTTGGTGTTGCTAACATCCTCTCTAAAATTAGTACATATTAATTGTAATAGTGTAAGTACTAATGGTGATTTTTGTTGATAGTATTTACTAGGATCTTTGTATAATTCAATATTCAACATTGGATTTTTTGGTTTTACATTTTGTATTTTTTGTACTCATGTGCCGCTTTGAACTTCCAACATGTCACGAAGACTTATGTTTACAAGCCCTTCTGTTGGTAAGTATATAAAATTGTTGAGTGTTTTTATTACAAATGGGTAACGTAATATTAATAATTAAGCATAGATTTAATCTAATTCATGTCGTTTGTTATAAATATTTTACATATTTTTTATGTATAGGGTATGCTGAAGTAACCAGAAATACATCACATACAATGTACTGTCTCTTATCATTGGGCTCAGTGTTACCAAACAATTGAACGCACTGAGGGGTAAGTATACATGTAAAAAAATCAATTTTTATTAACTTTGCTGGATACGTAGGATAATTTTAGCTGCTTTATTTTGTTTGTTTTTTATGTAGATTTTTTTTTGTTATTGGGTATTAATTTTTATTGTGTTTTTGTAGGAAATGTTCAATCTTCCTAGCCCTATATGAAATGAAGAACTGTGCATGTTGGCAATCTGAAAACACTTTGTGTTAATTGAGAAAGATATTGCTTCATATGTAAAAATGTCTCTCTATTGTACTTGACAAAACTGACATAAGGGAAGTCAAACTAAAAGAATTTTAAGGCAAAATGTTTCAAGTCTGTTACATAACTGTAAATATCAAGTAGTCTATAACAAACTTCATTGTGTTACTCTGCCAAATGTCAAAATATACTAGGTTTACTACTTGCAAATTAGTGTGTAGATTCGAATACGTCAATGTTTAAATATGGCATAGGGTTTTCGGATCCGAAGCCGTTCATTTGTAAGATTTTGTAAATAAATCAGTATAAATTTTTTAACTTATTTAACAGTAGATTTTTTTAAATGTAACCAGAATTGTAGTAATTATTCATATTACTCATCTCATATATCTAAATATTCCTAATATCCATCTCATAACATAATTGTTTGTGAAGTTCATATTACTTTTCAATTCCTATCAATGTGTGTGTTGAACATGTTGAACAGAAGTGCTTTCAAGTATATATCAATAACTGTATCTATGTTAGTAAATATCCAGGCCCTATTTTTGTCTCAACTCTAGGTTATTTCAATGTTGAATTATTTGAGTTCCCAAGAAAACAGCATTTACAGAGTAAGGTTTTTTAAGAACAGTATGGAAACTTGCAGGGGGCTGAAGGCAGGGCCGAATTTAAGTAGTGCAGGGCCCCAAGCACAAAATTGTGTTTCAGGAGTGCAGGGATATAAAATTATAATAATTCACTTGTAGTTTTTAAGAATTAGTTTAATATGAACAAAATAATCCTAGTTTTTGAAATCAGACAACCACCCACAAAACGAAGTTTTCGTGCAGCATTAGACACTTGACACTTTCCATGCAGCATGCATTCATTTCATGAATGTATTTTTTTCTAAACTATGCAGCACATGAGGAAGTCAAAAGTACTTGAACAGAAATATTGTGATCAACATTATTTTACAATGTTAACATAATCACCAATATTTATCTTTATATTTTATTTATATAAAATGAAAGTACATATCTGCACACATTTTATACAAATGTCTTTTCTTAGTGAAATCAAATGCACTATACCTTATCTGGCTTACTATCAAAGGTCTGATGTAAGGAGGGAGTAACATGTTTACTCCAGAAATAACTTCTCTCAGCGTAAGCCCAGAGTAAGCGAAGGTTAATTTTGTACCAATAATCACAGAGTAACTATGAGGGCTTTACTCTGCAATCCATATTTGGCAAAAAAATATTTTGAATGAATCTAATGAAATAAAGGAAAATTATGAGTACATTATTCAACTGTCATTTGGCAACGTATTCTCAATAGTTTGACATGCAAGAAAGCAGGTGAAACGAACAAGTCACATGAAATCGAAAACATGAAAGAACATTTGTTTGTGTTCCACATTTGAAATGAGTACTAATTTTGGAAGTTTCTTGTCTTTTGAAAATTTCTGAAAAAAATGGAAATGAAATGCTTGAGTGAATCTAAATATAATTTTTTGAAGAGAAATATTAAGGATTTTTCTGAGAAGAAATTTTATTCTTGGCTGAGAATGCGGTTGCCATGAAAACTGTTCTATGGTTGCAGTGATACAGTCACAAACAAACCCACCAGCAAGTATTCTTGAAAGAAACCTCAGAGATTATAATTTTCACAGAATATCATTGCTAGTGAATTGAGTTTTTCTTGTCCTGTAGTAGCTCGACACTTGTTTTTGAACTCTTTGTACTTTAATAAGCCAAAGTTGGGTATATTAAAAGATACGGTTTGAGTCAGCTGCTGTAACTGATTGTGGCATGATGGATTTTGTCATCTACTGGACGAGTTCACACCAAAATATATGATAATGAATATGCCTGTTTCAACTCCAATAGTGTGTTTATCAAATTTATTTATGTACTGAAACTAATTATAAATCTGTATTTTTTCAGAATTTTTTTTAGCAAATTTGCAATTTTGTTTTTATAATATGTTAGGCTTATTGGGCTCTGAGGCCCCAAGATGTAGCTTATTTAGCTCAATGCTAAATCACCTACTGCCTCTATAGTAAAAACTCAGGGGTATGCTACAAAATTCTTAGACCACTGCTGAAAGAGATGAATACCGCCAAAATATAGTATGCTAATTATGAATCAACAGGACTCTCTAAAAACTTGTTGAAAACATTGCCGTTTCATTATGTTGCGGGAGTAGGTATTCTCCCATTGACTGGAACAGAATCAGATTTATTCTAAATTAGGGCCTTCATGAAAAGACAGATAAAATGCATTAAAAAAGTCTCGTATTTGAGAAAAATGTTCCAATTTTGATTATTCTGTTTTTTAAAGAAAAACAATTTAAATGTTAATATCAAACGTTTATTCTCAAGAATACAATTGAATACCGAAAACAATATTTCACACTGGCAGTAAAGCCGTAAGCAAGATCAAAGCGGCCCGACCGCAGTGCTCTCATCAAAAGGCTCACTTTCTGAGGACGTCATCTCTATATATTCTAACCTCCTTGCGTGTGTATTGCCACGGCCTTGTGCTACTTCACTTTTCCTCCGAGGTTTAACTAACGGTCAACTGGGTACAGCGGTTGCCATGGAAACTGGGCCTGCCTTACTCCCAATTTATGCACCGCTCTCCGTGTTTTGCCAACTCCTGACTAACACCAGATGTAAATTTTACTCAGGGTTTATTAGTAAGGTGGTAGGTGCAAATAAAAAAGTATGGCTTAATTTCTGCATTTGTATCTCAGAAAGAATCTTTCAAAATTATCGTAAGTAGATTCTATTGGCTATAAATTTGTGTTGAAAAGCTTTGATGAGAAGAGTGCAATCATATTCATGGTTATGAATGTATATGTAGCTATAAAACTATATACCTAATTGTTCAACTTTTAGTAACAAATTGAATGTTGCTGTGAACTGAAATACTTAAATTGCCACACAGTACCAACAATGATAATTGTGCCCACAAGAACATTTTTGAAAAAAAAACAACCATTTTCAGGTTGGTAATAAAAAATATAGGCTAGATGAACATTGACAGAAACTAGTAGACTGGATCTTTATCAGAAAGTATCATTTTTAGAGCTTTTTTTGTTGACTAATTATTGTCGTTCCATTATACTTTGCTTTGTTTGTTAACTGCTATATATAAAAATATTTAATTTTCAAACACCAAGGTCTGATGAACAGAATTCCAGTAATTGAGAGCTGTCTATTTGTTAGTGATACCCAATTGCATTTTTTATAAAATTTTGAAAGATGACCACTGACTCATGCGATGAACCTTGATAAGCTCAGTGAATTACATCAACTGCATGCAAATTGCATTATTGCAGGACATTTTCAATTACATTCAAATACACAGAAAAGTGAAGAATTGTATAAATTTCTTAAGACAAGTTCAATAAAAAACACTACCACGGGAAGACTTGTTGAGATGCTAAAGAACAAAGTGAAGTCTGTTCTTCTGTGGTTGGCCACCTCTTATTTTAAATAGAAATTCCTTACAGAGAAACAATACATGCCAGACAGTGGTCCCTGTGAATAACCCACTGTGAGTGAAGGACTCATTAATGGGCGTTTCCATTAGTACGCTTCAGAACAATACTGAACAATGCTCTTTTCTTTTAAGCTACTTTTTACATGAATCCAACTTTAAATCATTTCGCTTGTGGTCTGCAAAAGAGGCACATCTCAAAAAAATACCAATTTTGGGGTAATGCACTGTCTAGAATTGCTGAATTGTCTACCTTCTAGCAACAACGAAGGCATATCTTACAGTATAGGATTCTCTCAACAAATGGCAGATGTGTGAATGCAAGAATGATGCATTTCAATACATGGTGAAACCTTTATCTCAACACCTGAGATTTTGAGTTGTGCCACTATTGCAGCTCACAAATAATTTGACAGACTCTAAAAGAGATATTCTCAGAACAACATTTTTTAAAACATGCCCTTTTCCTTCCACCATTTAAATAATCACAATTTCCTATTTTCCAAACCTCAATAATTTTTCCACGGAAACAAAAATTCTCTAACCTTTCTAGAAAATAGGAAATTCTCTGACAATTCAGTTTCCCACATCTATCACTATCCTTATAGCTACACCGTTTCTAAGTCTCGTACATTACATATCTGACACGTTCCATTTCCTCTGCAACAGTTCAATCGAATCATTAACCAAGCCTCTGCAGAGAACCCATGCAGTTATATCGCATGCATACACAAACACTTTGTTAAACTACTGAAAGATCTTGAAGAGCGTGAACTACCTCTTTCAGAGCGGCAGAAGAACATTCTGTTAAAACATATAACAAGCGAGTTTGCAAAGTAGATTTCGATAGGTGTAGGATAAAATAAACTAATTTTTGCTAGCCATGCGTTGGTTGCACAGTAATAGACTTGGCAAAGCACATAGCTCAAAAACTGAGACTTCCTTTCACACTGGTGTTACTGTGTTGAAAAGATAACATTTTTTTTAAAAAAAGGTCTGTGTTATTAGGAATAGAGATTCCAAAGAAAATATCTTTAATTTCATTCATGAACTTTCTGTATAACATTGGTTGAGAATTGCTAACCTACGAAATTGCAATATTCAGATTATTTCTCGTATATGACAAAATAGGACTGCAATGATAATAAGAACTCAGATGATACCTTCCAAGAAACAAATGCAACAACTTTGAAGAACTTTTCAGGATAATATCTTTTATATTATAACACTTCTTATAAAGAGACTGCTGTAGAATTGCATCTCTTGTACTACAAGATAGTCCTCCTTTACATACAGACTTTACCACAGCTACACAGATAACCTTTCTGCAGAATTACTGTCTTCATGAAGTGAATGCTATATATTAACTATTTACATACTTTTTTTCAGTGTCGCTTCCTGTCACAAATATGATGAATGATGGAGTTCCACCAATAACAAAATACCTAAAAAAACAAAAACCTACATAAATACTTTTCTAGACAGAAAACTGTAAAAATTAATTACCATTAAGTAATCTACCACTTATTTGTTTGTCCTGGGAACAACAAGAGTAGTTTTCTATTTAAACACAAACAGTCTTCAATTTAACACTCACATTCATGTATGCAGTTCAAAGGATAAAAGAAACATGATGTGTAGCAGTATTAGCTTCTATTTGTATCATAAGATATTTAAATCCAGAGTGGATTCATGTGAAGGTCACAATTCAAATGAACAAAGCTCTGAATACTACTGTGCCCTAAACATTTGTTTTGAAAGAATTAATTTCTTGACATAAATTTAAAACACATTCTGGAGCTAACAATATTTTGGCCAATGACTGCAATTTCAATAGATACAATCAGCAATAGTATCTTCAAATGTATACAAATGTGGTTGATGTTATTAACAAGAGAATGAAGGAGATCTCAAACACAGTATTTGTGACGTTCTAGATACAATATGAAAATGCTGTGAATCTGTCCTTTCAGAAATTTTAAAAGAGGCAGTTGTTACAGTATCACAATTGATTAAAAGTTTCTAAATACAATTATAACAAAGAATTTGAGAACATTGAAAATGAAAGAATTACACAAAAGTGATATGCATTTTTAAGACAAACACTTAGACATTTCAATAGTAATTCCTAAAATGTTTGTTGTTTTTGTAATTTTTCATAATTCAATTATAACAACTCTATGTCTCTGCTACGAGTACGTATAGCAAAATGTTGTATATCTCTATGCAAAGTAACTGGAAATCATTATGGAGGACTGTTCCTAAATAAAAACTTCAATACTGATGGATCTAATAAGACAGTTTAATCCAGCAGACAATACACAGACACCCTTTAGTATTGGGAAAAGAGTAATTGATGTCACACTTAATATGATTTTAAAATGATTCACTAAAACCAGCTTCTTTGGCTTTTGTCATAGCCTCGGGCACCTAAGTTTCTCATCAGAGTTTAAAATCTCATTTTACTCCTTGTACTTACAATAACACACTTGTAAAAATTAACAAATGCAAATATCATCAAGAGAAGACTTACCTTTTATCAGAGAGAGCTTGTAAAAGTGTACTCTTCGATGGCACAGAACACAATCGACCTGTATTCTGATTCTCAAAGTATACTTGTAAATGAGGTGGTTTATATTTCTCTTCAACATCCCATTCTGGACAGACCTCGAACATGACATTCAACTGATCTTCAAAGCTTAAAAAAAAGAAGTCATAAATTAAAATGAATAAAGTTATGGCAACATAACAATAAAAATACTTGTTTGTTGCCACCATTTGCTTTGAATGATCAAAATAAACTAATAATAATAATAATAATAATAATAATAATAATAATAATAATAATAATAATAATATCAAAAATGACTGAAGATGGTAACAAAAAATATAATTACGTGCTGTCTTCAGAAAACTCCTGAATAAAGTCTGTTGTTTGGTATTCTGGATAAAGAAAAATTACAGGCCAAACAAGGCGATTATTTTCCAGATGTACTTTAGAATGTATTGCCTCTGGGCTCTGAGGTTCTAAGTCTTTTAGACTCCATTTTTCTGTCCCTGTGAATAGAATATTTCCTTTCATACATTACCAATTATTATTTGGTAAAATATTTAACATAAAATTATCATTTTTAGTGAGAGCTACAAAATAAAATGCAGTTTTGAAGATTTCAATGTTTAAATAAGTTATTTGAACAATGGTCAATTCATTTTCTTTCATGTGGTGGCATTTACAATTGTACTTATAGAATCAGGTAGCCTACACGTGTCCATATGTTACTCATGGTTACATCTCTTCTGTCCACAATTCGAGGTAAGTAAAGTGTCATTTAATAGATCTAATTCTAAAATCGTTTGTTTATTAAATGTAATTTTAAAGTTCTTCAATGCATCTACAAAGAGACAATATCAACAACTCATTGAACTTGACATGATCTTTACGATTGCTAACAAAGTCATAAATTAAAATGAAGTTTCAGCAGCATAACAACTACTCTTGCACTATTTTTATCCATGTCCTTCTAGAACTAGAAGGTGGTGGTTTCAAGACACTTACAGTGGTGAAATGCTTCAAAATACTATTTTACCTTCCAGCATTACATGAATTATTACAGCTCGATTCACCAGACTGACTATAATTACACTCACTTTTATAAAGAAAAAAAAAAAAAAAGAACAAGACGAAACAGGAGAACGTCTTTCAGTACTTTTTCATGACACTTTCTATACCAGAGAATAGGCAACCCAGGAATTGGTTTTGTTTAAAATTTCTTTGGATTATGGTCTTGTATAGCACGAAAAAAAAACAACGTTAATTTAAAAATGCTTGGCATAGGCACTATGCTAAGCTAAGCATCATAGCTGTGAGGCAACAATTTTAATACTAGTAAATTTTATGAAAAATTTAAATGCAATTTTCTGATTAACTTACTTTAGTTAAAATTTGTTAACCAATCTGTTTCTGCCAAATATTGTACAGGCTTCTACTTCCAACAATAATGATATCTGTATGTTTAATTGACGAAATAGATCTGTTCAAATTAGCGTTAGACTTCCAACAAAAAGTTATTTTGTGACAATATTCAAGACTCCTAGAGCACTGAAAGCATTTTTAATCTGCCATTCACCATTGGTACTATAACTTTTCTGAAGTGAAAGTGCCATTGATGAAAAATAGGTTGCAGCAAAAATCATGATTTCATGCAAATTGCAACAGACTGGTATGGAACATGTTATTTTAAATGGCAGACTGTGTTTCCTTTAAGAAGTAAGACATTCAACAATTTTGCATGCTTGGGTGGATTAATTTAAAGCTTTGTTAACAGGCAGACTTGAGATAATATCACCATTTTAAAAGATTATATGTGAGCAGTGCATAATGGGAAAAAGCAAGGGACATTGGTCCCAACCAATGGTGTAGTTATCAAAACCCTTCTAAAAGAAGTAACTACACACAAAGTCATAATGCTCAGAGACTCAAGTTAAAATCAAGAAGAAAAATCAATTTCGCAATGAGAGGAAATAAGAATCAGCAAAACAACAAAAGAGAGTAGGAGTATGTGGGAGAAAATCTGAGCTCTCCCCTCGCATCAGAAAACTTGAAAATTTAGCTCTGAAGAACAGAAAAGCTACTTGTCCAAGTGCAAAGATGGTTTAATATGAAGCATAGATCGAGAGAGATAGAGATAGAGAGAGAGAGGAGAGAGAGAGAGAGAGAGGAGAGAGAGAGGGAGAGAGAGAGAGAGGGAGAGAGAGAGAGGGGGAGAGAGAGAGGGGGAG